CCGAGGTGGGTGCACACGATGTGATGAAGCGCGCGTGGTGCAGGCCAGGTGGTACAGGCCATGCGGTGCAGTCTGTGCGGTGCAGGCCGTGCGGTGCAGGCTGCGTGGTGCTAGCCATGTGCAGCAAGCCGTGCGGTGCGATCCGCGTGGTGCAGGCTACCCAGACCCCCGACGTCATGTTTTTTTCATGACGCGACCCCCAGAGGTCCAGACCCATTCCCTGGGACCGGCTTTTCGTCCTGAGTCGTTTTTTGACGGGCCCGAGGGCCGGTAAGGGCCGCCCGGAGGCCAAAAATAATGAAAAACCTCCCGTCGTGATTTTTTCATAACTCGAGGGGGTCTGGGGTGCAAGCCATGTGCAGCAAACCGTGCGGTGCGATCCGCGTGGTGTAGGCTATGTGGCGCAGGCGGTGTGACCGGCGACGGAGGAGGAGGAGGAGGAGGAGGAGGAGGAGGAGGAGGAGGAGGAGGAGGAGGAGGAGGAGGAGGAGGAGGAGAGGAGGAGAGGGAGGAGGAGGAGGAGAAGGAGGAGGAGGAGGAGGAGGAGGAGGAGGAGGAGGAGGAGGAGGAGGAGGAGGATATTGAGGAGGAGGAGGCCCCCCCGCTGGGCCGCGCACATGCCGCCGGTCATGATTTGCACACCCCCTCTTGGACACCCCCTCTTGGCCGCTCCCGAGTATAAAAACATCGCGACAGGTCGGAGCTCCCACCCATCTGCGTAGGAACCAAAGGAAGAAAACCATGCCGCAAACATGGTTCAGAACAATGAAAAATCTGGCAGATCGTGGCGGCGGCGGCAACGATGATGCGGGTGGACGGCGGCGCTCAGGATAACTATTATGACGATGTGGATGGTGATGGTGAGAAGGGTGGTGGAGGTTGACTGTATTTGGCCGGGCAGTCCTCATAAGCAAGACGGGCAAGACTGCGTCACTTCCACCAAGGAGTGGTGATGTCGCGCAGGTTCGAAAGAGGAGGTCGAGGAGAAGGGGAGGGACGGTAAGGAGGACGACGGCGAGCAGGAGGATGGACAGCTCGAGGACGCAGGAGGACATCAGCAGGGCCAACCCCCCAGTCCAGCAGCTCGACTTGATCGAGACGTGGCCCCCCCCCCACATCTCGGCCCCTTCCCCGGCGCCAGCGTCTCGCCCCCGGTCGGGGCCTGCGGCTGGCGGCCCCAACGGGGGCCCCCGCGAGGCAGCGAGCACCTGGCCGTGCCCTGCTTTCCTCGAGCCGCCGGGTCTCTGCCGAGCACGGCGGGGGGCGAGGAGGCCGACGACATCGGCTGCGCGCCACGGTGGCCTTTCGCCAGGCTGGCCTCCGGTGTGGGCCCCAATGGGGCCCCGCGATCGCCGAGTGGGATGGGGCAGCAGCGGCCCGTGCGCCCGGTGGTGTCCCCAAAGGGCCCTCCCTGGGTCCAGGGAAGGAAAACCACCCGGACCCGACAATTGGCGCTTGCTACACGGCCTGGGGCGTTTACTAGCTAGCCCTGCCCTGTTCGCTTCCTTCTCTGGGTGCGTTTACGAAGCGGCCTCGCTGATCGGGGTGGTTGCCTTGGGGGTGGATTTTTTGCCCTCCACTCGGGCCGCTCGCCAAAGGGCACTCTCGTGCCCAGGGTCACTCTTGCGTGTAGCCGAGACGAGGACGGCGGCGGCGACGGGGACCCCCCGCCCCCAGAGGAGGGCGAACAAGAACGCGGCTGGGGTCCAGGATCCAGCACCGGGATTCGGAGATCGAGGTTCGAGGTTCGAGGCTCGAGGATGGAACTCCGAGGATCGAGGCTCGAGGGGGCCCCAGCCATCCTCCGTCGCGTTTTCTTCCCAGCGTGGCTCCCCAGGGGTCTGGACCCCTCCCTGGGGCTGGTTCCTCATCCCCGAGCCGTTCCTTCTGGACGGTCCCGGTTGCCCCGGCAAGGGCAAGCGGGGGCCGACAATTGGCAAAAGCCCTTCGTCGTTCTGGGCAGGCCGTTCGGGGGTCCAGGTGAAAGGGGTGGTGGCAAGAAGTCAGCTGGCACCGAAATCTCAGACGGGTCCGTGCGAAAGTGATGGCGTCCAGGCCTCCCAGATGGAGTAGATGGGGTCGGAGGATCGCGCCGAGTCGCCGATGCATCGGCGATGCGGCTCGATGTGGAGTCCCATTTCCTCCACGCCGACGTCGAGCGGTCGTTCGGCCGGCGAGCTGGGGGCGCTAAGAGCTGCATTTATTGGTCATTCGGCTGGCGAGCCGGGGGCGCCAATAGCTGCATTTGCCGGTCGCTCGGTCGGCTCTTGCACGTAATCGATGCAGGCTCAGCCGGTGCGAAGCGTGAGCGAGCTGGTGCGAGCGTTGTACAACGACAACATCCCCCACGCCGACGCCACCGATGCATCGCCGCTGCATCGGCGGTGCATCGCCGATGCGTCGGCGATGCGGCGGGATCCTACGGCCCCATCTGCTCCGACCCCTTCTAGGGGGCCTCCGTGGCGGCCCTCCGCCGGTCGCTGCAGCGCGTCGTGCGACTGCGAATGCGTCGCTGTGGCGAGTCGGGCCCCAACTCCAGGAGCGCCACCGTTCTTCTGCCTGGACTCATGATGTTCCAGCCTACTTTAGCGTTGACCACCCGCAAGAAATTCGAGAGCGCCAACAAAATACCGGAAGTCGAGGGTTTTCACGTGTCGGGCCCTGGGAGACGCTCGCCCGACACGGTTTCGACACAGTTTCGACACTCTTTCGACACTTTTCCGGGTGCTCGAAATCATTTCTGGGAAATGGTCCTTAAAGTGCGATGGGAACAACATAAGCCTGGACCTTCTTTTGGGCCGCCTGAAGACTAAGTATGAAACACATCGATCGAGAAAACAGTTCGAACCAACAGATAACACATCGTTTGGACCGCCCAAGTCGCTGCCCGCCCGACCACCCCAACCCAGCCCGAAGGCCTCAAGTTACCCTCCATTCCCAGGGGGGAGGGGGGCATCCAGGAGTCTTGAAAAAGCACCGAGCTCGAATCCGCACGCCCCCCGACCTGACCTCTGGGACTTTGTGGGTTGGGCAAATGGTGGTCTGGTAGGTAGTCACCGAAGTCGTGACTGTTCCGCGGAGGGATCGGCTTCATTCCAACATACCGATACTATGTGTGCGTCGCCCCCCCCCCGCCGCTCTTGGGGCGACGCGCGCACTGAGAAATCTTCTAGTATGGCGCGTCGTGGCGGGCGCTTTCTGGCCACACCGCCCGGGAAACGAGATGCTACAAGATGGTTCTACGAAATCTTCGGGTCGGACGCACGCCTCAAGGATGGCATGTAGCACTCTTCCTCCTCCTCTCCCTCCTCCTCCTCCTCCTCCTCCTCCTCCTCCTCGTCCTCCTCCCCCCTTCCTCCTCCTCCCCCCTTCCTCCTCCTCCTCCCCCTTCCTCCTCCTCCTCCCCTCCTCTCCTCCTCTCCCCTTCCTCCTCCTCCTCCCTCCTCCTCCTCCTCTCCTCCTCCTCTTTCTCCTCCTCCTCATCCTCCTCCTCCTCCTCCTCCTTCTTTCCCTTCCTCCTTCCTCCTCCTCCTCCTCCTCCTCCTCCTCCTCGTCTGCCCTTGTGCGCCACATGCCGGGGGCGGCGCGGCGGCCGGGCCGCGCGCGGAGCGCGCGCGCGAGCGCCCCCGCGCGCGCCGTCCGCGCGAGGTCGGGCACGTCGGCAGGGCCAGGGGCAGCACCGTCGTCGTGGAGGACGGCGCGCCGCCGTCGACGGCCCTCGTCGACGTCGACGTTGACGTCCTCGCCGGCGTCCTCGCCGGCGTCCTCGTCGACGTCTTCACCGACGTCGACGTCCTCGCCGCGCCGGCTCGGTGCCGTCGCCTCCAGCTTGACTCGAGGGAGAAAACGCCATCAACACACACACACACACACTTGTGGCGCTCCGCGCGGATTTCTTGTACCGCGCTGGCCCCCCCACCCCCTGGCGGCGCCTCTCGCGCCGCCCCTGGCGCGCTCCGCGCGCCAGGTAGGGGGGTCCAGCGCAGATCCAAGGAGCCCGCGCGGACCGGCAACAGTCGATGTCTACGCCGTTTTTCGCCTGTCTGTGGACGTTGTCGACATCCTTTCCGGTCCCCCCTAGATCAGGACGCTGCTGACCAGGGCATTGGTCAGGGGCAACGGTAGGGGGGGATAGTCATAGGGGGGGATGCAGCGACCCCCAATCGCCCACTGATCGCCGATGGAGGCCCGATAGCCCCAACCTGCCCAGGAAGGTGCGGATTCGCGATCGGAGGCCCATCGCCGATCTATCGGCGACGCATCGCCGATTCCAGGTCAATGCATCCCCCCCTATGCCAGTTCCCCCCCATCGTGGCCCTCAACTGGACATTCCACCTGCATGGACCGAGGAGCGGATATATATACATATATATATATATATATGTTTATGTATATTTATATTTATATTTATAGTTATATTAGATATAGTCATATTCATTTTTATATTTATAGTTATATTTATATTTATATTTATATTTATATTTATATTTATATTTATATTTATATGTATATGTATATGTATATGTATATTTATAGTTATATTCATATTTTCAGTTATATTTGTATTTATATTTGTATTTATATTTATAGCTATGTTTTTATCTTTATTTATATTTATATTTATAGTTATATTCATATTTATATTCATATTCATATTTACATCTGTATTTACATTTGTATGTATAGTTGTATTTATATTTACATTCATATTCATATTCATATTCATATTCATTTTTATATAATACACATATACATACAAGACTGCAGTGGCGCTTCGCGCCAGCAGGAAGGTCAAGCCGACAATTTAGTGATAACTCCTTTTCTGGCATCGCCGCTATAATAATGTTATTCGTTATCCTTCCTCCATGCTTCTTTTTCCTTATTTTCGCCATGCCTTGCGCATTCTCCCCATCCTCCTCAGCTCTTTTTGCGGAGGTTCCTCCTTGGAGAGCCTCTGGGGGCCTCACACAAGTTGACTTGTAGGCTTTGGGACGGGAGCAATGGCCTCAGCCGTCACGGATCAGCGCCCGCGCGGTCCGTGGCCCCCCTCACGCGCTGGCGCTGCATGCAGCGCGCGCTCCCTCTGGAACGCGCGGAGGCCGCGAGCGGCAGGCGCGCTGGCTGGTGGCGGCGGCTGCCACGCTGGTGCTCCCGCCGCCGCGCCGCGGGCTCGGCTGCGCGGTCGGCCTCGGCGCCGACCCCCTCGCCCGAGGGCGGCGCGGGCACCTTCGTTCAGCAGCACGTGGAGGTCCACGTGCACGTCGCGAGCGGCGCGGACGCCGCACGGGCCGGGCGCGCCGCGGCTGAGGCAGCCGCTGCCGTGCTGGGCGGGACCCCTTGCGGGGCCGGCGCGTCGCCGGCCAAGCAGGCGCCGGAGGCTGGCGCAGCGGCGCGCTGCGGACGGGCTGGTGGCAGCCAGGCTCCGGCGCGCGCCCCGCGCCCTGAGGGCTGGGCCTACGCTGTGTGGCGGCACTCCCTGCGGCCGGAGCTGCGGGGCGTGCACTGCGGCGGCGGCGCGGCTTGGCGGGAGCTGGCGGCGACGCTGCCTGGCGGGCGCTACACGTTCTCGTCGGGCGTGCGGCTGCGGCGGTGCGCCAGCGAGCTGGCGGCCGTGGCTGGCTACGAGGCGGAGGCGGCGAAGCACGAGGCGCCGCTGCCCGCGCCGCTGTTCGACGTGCTGGCCCCGCGGCTCGCGTGATGGCGATTGCGGTGCTGGGAGGGGCCGACCCGGCCAGTGCGGAGGAGTACGAGTGGGAGATGCGGGTGGCGGAGCTGACGGACGACTACATGCCCCTGCAGGTCGACGTCTCGGTGGTGCACCGAGGGTTGAGCGCGGACAGCGCGGGGATCGCGGTGCCTATCGTGCCGATCCGCAAGGCGGGTTCCGTGCTCGCCATCGCGATCCCCGCGGACGTGTGCCCGTGGCTGAGCCCCCACTTCGCCGCGCTGGGTGACCCCGTGCATTTCCTCCCGGCGGTCGACGGCCAGATGGCGACGGTGGCTTTCGTGAGGGTCAGCTCGGAGGGCGGTGCTTGGATGGAGCCCGCTACGGGTAGCGGGCATTGGGCTGGCGATGGACGCTGGACTGCGGCGCGGGCGCTGGTTTCCCTTGCAGCGTCTCTGCCTGCCGCGGTGGCGGACGACGACATCAACCCAGAGCGGGACTACTCCAGCGCTCTGGTCCCCGCCCCGCACGCGCTCAGCCCAGAGGACCTCGACGCGGTGCTGGGCGGCGCGCTGGGGTTCGGGCCCTGGCGCGGGCTACTGCGCTTGCGCTGGCCGCCGCCGGAGCCCGAGCCTGGAGGCGAGGACCAGATCGTGGGGCCCGACGGTCAAGGGCTGCCGGGCATCGTGACCCCGCCCAACGGGGGCGCCGCTGCTGCAGCGGCCGCGCCTTGGGAGCCGTTGCCCCCGCCCGAGCCTCCCGCCCGCGCTGGTGGCGCCGCCAGCGCCGCTCGCCTGCAGGACTCGGCTGCTGCCGCTGCTCGGGCCGTGACGCCCCAGGGCAAGGTCGCAGCCTTGGCCGCTGGCCGTGCGCGAGCTGCGCGGGGGCGCGCTGGTCCCGCCAGCAGCGCCGAGGAGGAGGACAGCGCCGCCGAGAGCCGCCGCGGCCCCGCGCGGCCCCGCCCGCCCGCGGCCTCGGGCCGCACGACGGTCGCTTCGCTGGCTGCCGTGCTGGAGCGCCTGGAGGCTTGGAATCAGGACGTGCTGAGGCGCATGGCGCTGCTGGAGACGGTGGGGCGCCCGCCGGCTGGAGGCGCGGGGCCTGTGGGCGCCGCGGAGCCCGCGCTGGGCGAGGCCGCGCCCGCCCTGCCCGCAGCCGCCCCCTCGCATCCGCAGGTGCTCGGACCGGCGCGAGGCGCCGCGGCGGAGCTACAGGCCGCAGGCGCGCCGCCTCTGGCTCGCTTCGGGCAGCCCGTAGGCTTGGCGAGCCCGCTGCCGGTCGGCGCCGTGCCCGCTGCCGCAGGCGCGGCTGCGCGAGGCCTCCGCGCTGGGGCGGCTGCAGGGCGTGCCAGCGAGATGCCTCTGAACGCGGTGCAGGTTGCCCAGGCCCGCGCCTCCTACGCTCGTGCCCACGGCGTGCCGCTCGCCGACGTCACCGAGGGCGAGGTGCGCAGGTCGGCGGAGGGCATCTTTGTGTGGTGCCAGGCCGGGGCCGGCGTGCCCGCCGCCGGGCGCGTGGGCGCGGTGGCCACGGCCCCGCCGCCGCCGGTAGGTGCCTCGCCGGCCGAGCTAGCCGCCCATTAAGGCTGCCGTGGCCGAGCTGCAGCGGATGCCTGCTGGCGCGGGGCCCGACGCGCTGGACGGGCTATTGCAGCCGGGCCTCGACGATGGGTCCGCCGCTGCTGGCAAGATGCCAGGGGCCCGCGGCGCTGCCAGCATGGAGATGCTGCGGCGCGATCTACAAGCGCGTCCCGCGGCGTAGACAGCCATGATCAGGAGGAACGCGGAGGTGGCGCTGGCGGGCACGTCGGGCGGCCCCGACCCGCGCGTGCGCAGCCTGGTGGAGTTCGTGGTCAGGACGGGCACGATCAATCGCGGCAACAGGACGGCGGCCTACCTAGGCTTCGGGATCGCGCGGCTCGCGGACCTGTTAGCGCGAGGCCAGCTCGAGGCGGCGGAGGCGGTCATCCTGCTGCTGCTGACGGCGCTGGAGCAGGCGCAGAGGGACAGCGGGCGCTGGCAGCTGGCCTGGCTCCTCACTCACCTGCCCGAGCCGCCGTGGTCTCAGATGACGACAGGCTCCAGCGGCTCGGTGGACAGCCTGCGGCCCTTCGGCCACCTGGCCGAGCCGACGTGGACCACGGCAGCGATGGCCTACACCAAGGACGCAGCCTCCCTGGCCGAGATCAGGAAGAAGTTCAACGACGACCGCGGCGGCGGCAAGAAGGACGAGGAGGAGCAGCGGCCGCCCAAGCCGCCCCCCAAGGGCGGGCGCGGCGGGGGCGGCAAGGAGGGGGCGTAGCCGGCGACGCCGGCTTGCTGGCGGACATCGAGGCTGGTTTGCCGCGGGTGCAGATCGGCATGGTGCGCCGCTTGCTGCGGGCCAGGACCAGTCTGGCCTACTACTTGTATTCGTGCAGGCATTTCTCCGGCACGCCGTCGGACTCCCCGGCGCGTACCTGCTTGAAGTTGTTCCATATGGCGCCGCCCTACTCGTGGACCATCGGCGCCCCTCCGTGCTCCAGCCCGCGCTGCAGGGACCGCTGGAAGAAGGCGCAGGTGGCGAAGCTGCAGGTGAACCTGGTAGTGGTCGCGTGCTCCTTCCTGGCGCTCGGCTCGCGGCGGCGGTGCCCGGACGCTTACAGGACGGGGGTGGGCTTGAGTGAAGTGCAGCGAGAGCGGCTCCCGCACCTCCTCGCCCTTGCCAAGCAGTGGAGCCGCACGCCCTACCACATGAGCGGCCGCGGCAAGATGAAGCTACAGGCGCTTCTCGAATTCGGTGTGCAACTGCGTGGAGCCGCACCCGAGCAGCAGGTGCGCGCTCCACCCCCTCTCGCGGTGGCGCCCTTCGTGGCCAGCCGCGCGACCTTCTGCAAGCAGGAGGCCCACTTCGACCCTGTGTACCACCTGCCCGTTTTCGAGGCGGCGGCGTACCTGGACCCGGAGCTGATCTTGAGGGGCGTCCCGCTCGAGCATGGCTTGAAGGCTATGCGACAGTCTAGGAACATGAATCAGATCGTGGAGTTCGCTTCGGATTTGGATCGTTCCCACAAGCTGTATTTGGCGAGACCAGGCGAGGTGGGCATGGGCCAGGCTTGTAAGCTCATCCCCGTCTACCGTGATCAGCACCGAGATCGTATAGTGTGGGGTCGCAGGATACGGAACGCGGCCGAGCACGCGCTGCAGTCGGGCAGTCAGCGCCTGGTCTCTGGGCACGCGCTGTGCGACTACGAGCTGAACGAGGGCTTCGTGCCCGTGCTGTTCGCGGAGGACGTGGCCGATTTCTACCCCGCCTTCGACTCTACGCCGGCCAAGGCGCGCACCAACATCCTGGGGCGCAAGGTCCCCACGTACTTGCTGAATCACACCAAGGCGTACGCGGCGCGCCGCGCCGAGCTGGGGGAGCACTGCGTGGCGTGCGTGGCCAGCCTGCTCATGGGGGACCTGAACGCCATCGACTTCGCCCAGGGCGCGCACGAGGCCGTGCTGCAGGCGGGGGGCTCGCTGGCGGACGCAGTGCGGGTGCAGCGCCATCGGCCTTTCCCGAGGGGCGCCCCCGCGGAGCTGCTGCAGATCGACGACCGCATCGGCCTGGGGCAGCGGGCGCGGGGCTCTCGGCAGCTGCCGCGCGAGCTGGTGCAGTCCTTCGCTGGAGCCCGCGAGCAGTGCGCGCAGGTGGGGCTGAGGGCCGCGGGCGACAAGCGCGTGGCAGGCGCCTCCGCGGGCTTCGCGCTGGGAGCGGAGGTGCTGTCTTCGGGACATATCGGCGCTGAACGTCTGCGGCGTGCTGGCCTGGCGCTGCTATCCTCTGGCATTGCGGCGCACGGCCTCGCGACGGGCGCCCTGCTCAGGAGGACAGTGGCCAGCTGGGTACATGTCGTGGGCTTTCGGCGGCCCGCTATGTGCCTGCCGGGCGAGGTGTTCCGTGCGCTGCCGGCGATGCCGCTTGACGACGACGTCTTCGAGCTGAGCGCGGGCGCGCGGCAGGGGCTGATGCTGTTGTCCATGCTGGCGCCTACGCTGGTCACCAACCTCAAGGCGAAGGTAGCGAGCAGGGTGGTGTGCAGCGGCGCCTCGCACCACTTCATGGCTGCCGTCGAGGCCGACGTCGCCCAGCCGGTGGTTCGCGAGATCTGGCGGCACAGGGACAAGCGCGGGTGGTACACGCAGCTCACCAGCAAGGAGGTGGCCTACATCCGCGCGCACAGGCGACTGGAGGATCGAGCCTGGCTGCAGGACATAGGCCTGGGGCTAAGGTGCCGCGCTGGCATCTGCTCGAGGTGTTCGACGTGCTGGAGGTCTGCAGCGGGCGTGATGCCCCTTGGTCCTCGGCGCATGCGGCCGCCGGGCTGCGAGTGGGGCCCAGGATCGACCCCAAGACGCATCCGCTTTGGGACCTGCGCTCCGTCCGCATCGTGGAGTGGATCCTCTTCCTGATCATCAACGGCTGGGTCGCCAACGTGCACTGCGCCCCGCCGTGCGCCACGTTTTCGTTGGCGCGGCAGCCGCGGTTGCGCTCGCGAGCCCAGCCGCTGGGCCTGGATCCTACTGATCCTACGACGCGCCTGGGTACCGTCCTGCTCTACAGGGTGCTCCTCATCCTGTGGGCCGCGCTCAAGTGCGACAGGCTCGGGTCCATGGAGCATCCCGCTGGCGCTTATTCGTGGTACGTGCCGGCGATGCGGTCGCTGCTCGCCAAACCTGGCTGTGGCTCACTGGACTTTGCGGCCTGTGCCTTCGGCGCGCCGTGCCAGAAGCCGACGCGGCTAGGTCTGGTGAACGGCGGCTTCCTGCAGCCGCTGTCCCGCCCCTGCGTGCATGGGCGCCGCGCTCGTAGCCGCCCGCTGGTCGGTGCGGCGCGCGCGGCGCCGGCGGCCGCCTACGCGGCCGAGCTGTGCGCCATCTGGGCCGAGCTGACGCGGGCGCATCTGGCAGCCAGGGCCCCGCTGGGAGGACCCGAGCAGGCGCCGGCCGCGGCTGGCGGGCGACTGGAGCAGCCTTTCGTCAACGACCTGATCCGCTGCTGCCGCTGGCGCGCTTTCACCTGTGACCCCTGCCCGCCGGCGACGGGCTTACCTCGGCGGAGCAACTGGGCCGAGGCCGCGGAGCAACTGAAACCAAGCGGCGGAGCAACTGACACCAAGCGGAGGAGCGGCGGAGCAACTGAGCCAGTTGTTGGCCCAGTTGCTCCGCCCGCCCATCTGAGTTGCTCCGCCCGCCCCCCGCCCCCCCTGCGCCTCTGGGGCAGTCTCAGTTGCACCTGGGGTGGTTGCAGCTGCCGCAACAGAACCCAAGCGGCGAAGGGCGTGGAGGAGGGGGAGGAGGCGGAGGAGCGGAACGGGAGAGGAGGAGGAGGAGGAGGAGGAGGAGGAGGAGGAGGAGGAGGAGGTGGAGGAGGGCTATCGGAAGCGAGCGGGCGAGAACGCAAATAACATTGATTTTCTATGGGTGTTTGAAAGTTCTTGGCTTCTTGAGCCTCCTTGGGAAGCTTTTTGGACTCCTGGAGCCGTCTCGGGGCGGTCTTGGGCCCTGTTGGAGCGTCTTCGGGGCCATCTTGAGGAATCTTGCGCCATCTTGGGCGAAACAGTACCCTCTGGCACCTCGCGGGGCGCCTCTTGGGCCCGTCTTGGGGTGCCTCTGGGCCCCTCCGAGGGCCCTGGGAAGGGTGCAAGAGGGCCCCTAGAGGGCTCCCAGAGGCCCCCAAGGGGGCTCCAAGAGGCCCCGAAGAGGGCCCAGGAGTACATTATAAAACAAGCTGTTTTTATAAGCTGGCCTGGTGCCCTCTTGGGCCCGTCTTGGGGCGCCTTTGAGCCCCCCCGAACGCCCTGGGAAGAGTCCAAGAGGGCCCCTACAGGGCTCCCAGAGGCCCCCAAGAGGGCTCCAAGAGGCCCCCGAAAGGGTCCAGGAGTACGTTATAAAACAAGCTGTTTTTATAAGCTGTCCTGGGGCCCTCTTGGGCCCGTCTTGGGGCGCCTTTGGGCCCCTCCGAACGCCCTGGTACGGGTCCAAGAGGGCCCCTACAGGGCTGCAGGAGGCCCCCAAGAAGGCTCCAAGAGGCCCCCAAGAAGGCCCCGCAGTACCTTACAAAACAAGCTGTTTTTATAAGCTGTCCTGGGGCCCTCTTAGGCCCGTCTTGGGGCGCCTCTGGGCCTCTCGGAAGGATATGGGAAGGGTCCAAGAGGGCCCCTAACGGGCGGGTCGGGTCGGGCCGGGCGGGACATTAAAGTATGATGCATCGAGTTGGCACGCGAGTACCCTAACGGGCGGGTCGGGTCGGGTCGGGCGGGCGGACCCTAACGGGCGGGTCGGGTCGGGTCGGGCGGGACATTAAAGTATGGTGCATCACCGAGTTGGCACGCGAGTGCCCTAACGGGCGGGTCGGGTCGGGTCGGGCGGGCGGACCCTAACGGGCGGGTCGGGTCGGGCCGGGCGGGACATTAAAGTATGGTGCATCATCGAGTTGGCACGCGAGTGCCCTGACGGGCGGGTCGGGTCGGTCGGGCGGGACATTAAAATATGGTGCATCACCGAGTTGGCACGCGAGTACCCTAACGGGCGGGACGGGTCGGGTCGGGCGGGCGGACCCTAACGGGCGGGTCGGGTCGGGTCAGGCGGGCGGACCCTAACGGGCGGGTCGGGTCGGGTCGGGCGGGACATTAAAGTATGGTGCATCATCGAGTTGGCACGCGAGTGCCCTAACAGGCGGGACGGATCGGGTCGGGCGGGCAGACCCTAACGGGCGGGACGGGTCGGTTCGGGCGGGCGGACCCTAACGGGCGGGACGGATCGGGTCGGGCGGGCGGTCCCTAACGGGCGGGTCGGGTCGGGTCGGGCAGGACATTAAAGTATGATGCGACATCGAGTTGGCACGCGAGTACCCTAGCGGGCGGGACGGGTCGGGTCGGGCGGGCGGACCCTAACGGGCGGGTCGGGTCGGGTCGGGCGGGCGGACCCTAACGGGCGGGTCGGGTCGGGCCGGGCGGGACATTAAAGTATGGTGCATCGCCGAGGTGGCACGCGAGTAACCTAACGGGCGGGTCGGGTCGGGTCGGGTCGGGCGGGCGAGGTCCGAGAAGGTTTTTGCTAGGTTTTTAGGTGTTCTCGGCCTCGGGAGGTCGTTTTCGGGCCCCGGGACTTGGGCGAAAAATTCCGTTCTGGGGGTGCTGGAATCGCCACGAACGGCCGCCGGAGAGCCGACGGCGTGTCGCTGGGGAGGCGACGGCGGCGGCGGCGGCCCGCCGCGGTCCGTGTCGCTGGGGAGGCGACGGCGGCGGCGGCGGCAGTGGCGACGACGACGACGACGACGACGACGACGACGATCAAGACGACGACGACGACGACGACGACGATCAAGACGACGACGGCGACTACGAGGGAGATAATGATGAGCGCGTTTTTCCCGGCCGTAAGCATCCTTACGGCCTGAAAAAAAAAACACGACGACGACGACCACTACGACGACCACGACGACGACCACGACGACGACGACCACGACGACGACGACGACGACGACGACGGCGACGGCGTCGACGACAACGACGACGACGACGACGACGACGACGACGACGACGGCGGCGGTGACGGCGACGGACAACTGGTGCGTTTGGACCCCGGGAGGGATCTGGGGACCCGTCTTTGGGCCCCTCCGAGGTCTCTGGGAAGGGTCCAAGAGGCCCCCAAGGGGGCTCCCAGAGGCCCCCAAGGGGGTTCCAAGAGGCCCCCAAGAGGGCTCAGGAGTACGTTATAAAACAAGCTGTTTTTCCCCATATCCTAAGGATTGGGGTTCTTGTTATAACTCTGACGCCTCCCACTCCTCCTCCTCCTTCTTCCTCCCGCTCGCGCCTCCCTCCTCCCAATGATAATCACCAGATAAGACAAGACAATATAAGATACTACAAGATAAGATAAGATAGCACAAGATATGATAATAAGAGATTTCAAGATAAGATAAGATAAGTTAAGCTCACACTCACACTCTCTCATGATCACAAAACGCTGCCAGGGGCATCATTTGGGAGCCCCAAGGGGGAGCCACCCTGGCTGATCTCACGAGCCCGTTCGCGCCGATTTTGGTGGGACGTCTCAGCTAGAATTGCCGTTTGGCGCCCCAACATGTATCTCTTGAGAGCCTCATGGTCACAAAACGCTGCCAGGGGCATCATTTGGGAGCCCCAAGGGGGAGCCACCCTGGCTGATCTCACGAGCCCGTTCGCGCCGATTTTGGTGGGACGTTTCAGCTAGAATTGCCGTTTGGCGCCCCCAACATGTATCTCTTGAGAGCCTCATGGTCACAAAACGCTGCCAGGGGCATCATTTGGGAGCCCCGAGGGGGAGCCACCCTGGCTGATCTCACGAGCCCGTTCGCGCCGATTTTGGTGGGACGTCTCAGCTAGAATTGCCGTTTGGCCTCCCCAACATGTATCTCTTGAGAGCCTCATGGTCACAAAACGCTGCCAGGGGCATCATTTGGGAGCCCCAAGGGGGAGCCACCCTGGCTGATCTCACGAGCCCGTTCGCGCCGATTTTGGTGGGACGTCTCAGCTAGAATTGCCGTTTGGCGCCCCCAACATGTATCTCTTGAGAGCCTCATGGTCGCAAAACGCTGCCAGGGGCATCATTTGGGAGCCCCAAGGGGGAGCCACCCTGGCTGATCTCACGAGCCCGTTCGCGCCGATTTTGGTGGGACGTCTCAGCTAGAATTGCCGTTTGGCCTCCCCAACATGTATCTCTTGAGAGCCTCATGGTCGCAAAACGCTGCCAGGGGCATCATTTGGGAGCCCCAAGGGGGAGCCACCCTGGCTGATCTCACGAGCCCGTTCGCGCCGATTTTGGTGGGACGTCTCAGCTAGAATTGCCGTTTGGCGCCCCCAACATGTATCTCTTGAGAGCCTCATGGTCACAAAACGCTGCCAGGGGCATCATTTGGGAGCCCCAAGGGGGAGCCACCCTGGCTGATCTCACGAGCCCGTTCGCGCCGATTTTGGTGGGACGTCTCAGCTAAAATTGCCGGTTGGCCTCCCCAACATGTCTCTCTTGAGAGCCTCATGGTCACAAAACGCTGCCAGGTGCATCATTTGGGAGCCCCAAGGGGGAGCCACCCTGGCTGTTCTCACGAGCCCGTGAAGAGGAGAGAGAGAGAGAGAGAGAGAGAGACGCGTGAGAGAAGAGTGAGAGCGATAGAGGAGAGAGAGGAGGAGAGAGAGAGAGTGAGATCGAGAAGAGGAGATGAGGGAGAGCGAGAGAGAGAGAGAGAGAAAGAGAGAGGAGCAAGAGAGAGAGCAAGATGAGAGAGAGAGGAGAGAGAGAGAGATGGAGAGAGAGTGAGAGAGAGGTGGAGAGAGAGAGAGAGAGAGAGAGAGAGAGAGAGAGAGAGAGAGAGAGAGAGAGAGAGAGAGATCGGACAAGTAGGCGGACCAGGGTCCGTCCGCGAGGCGCACTGCGGTGCGACAACTCGCCAAACACTATTTGCGGCGGTGCAGCCTTGAGATACGAGGGCGGGCAACAAACCCCCTCCCCCGGCGCAATGCGACAGACGCTACAGACGGCGGACAGACGGTGAAGATCTCACGAGTCAGACCGCGTGACGAAGAAGGCCCCAACAAGAAAGGCGACGTGCTGACACGTGGCTAGGCGGCTTGGCAGACCGCCAGTTGGGCGCTTGGCCGCAACGCGGCGCGCAGGGACGGGGCGCCCCCCGCCCCCACGCCCTGACACCGTGGACGCGGGGCCACGCGTGCACACGGGCAGGCAGAATGGCGGAGATTAGCGCGGGGCTCCAGGCGGAGCGCCGCGGAGCGATGACAGCCTAGCTTGTTTTTGTTTTTTTTTTTTTTTTTTTTTTTTTTTTTTTGTCTTTCATTTTGTGTTTTTTTTTTTTTTTTTTTTATTGTTTTCCTTTTTTTTTTTTTTTTTTTCTTTTCTTTTTTTATTTTTTTCTTTTTTTTTTGGTATTTTTCATTTTTCCCAACTTTTTTTTTTATTTTTTTTTTTTCTCTGTTTTTTTGTTTGTTTTTTTTGTTTTTTTTTTTTTTTTTTTTGGAGGGTTAGTGGGCGGCGCAGCTCCATCGGGCGAGGGGCGTAAGCAGAACTCGGCGAAGCACGCCCGGCGCGGATGGAGGCGCTTGGAG